GGGCAGCCCGTGCAAGGACCAAGGAAAAAAAAAAAAAAAAAAAAAAAAAAAAAAAAAAACCCGAAAAATCCGAAAAAAAACTATGTTATGCAGAAAAATAAACTGAACAACATTTGCCTCAGGGTCATATCGAAATTCTTCACCAACTTTTAAATAAAAAATAAACTCTAAAAATAAGTTTTTTATTTATATTTTTTTAATTGTTTTTGGCCCGGCCGGGCAAGTGACCCCGGGCCACTCTGGTAACCTAGTAAATAAATAAATAAAAGTTAAAAAAATATGTATCCATTGCGTCAGACAACTATCTACTGTTGTTTGCCGCAGTGAAAACACTCACGTACACCTACCCACCCTCATGCGCAAGGATCCTCAATGATTCCTCATTCCTCTGTCTGTACATTTTCTTTTCTCTTTTCTAAATTTTAACTTTTCTAACTTTTCTCTTCTTTCTTCCCGCCCGGCGCACTTGGACCATTTTCTTACCTCCTCTGCTGACACAGTCTCTGACATGTAGCCACCCTCCTTGGCTGCAATATCTGCAGAGACAGGTGTGCCGTCGTTTGCCCTGAAGCGTGTAAACTCCACCTGAAAAAAAAAAAAAAAAAAAAAAAAAGAGAGAGAGAGGAACCAGAGCAAATCTCAGCACAGTAACTTTGGTCGTAACAGGAGCCCGTGTGCATGTTCCCACAAATCTAAGTTGAGTCAGTTGACAAAGCAAATTTTGAGCGCATCGGACCTCTATCAGGTCCAGATCCATTCAGTATGCTGTGGAGTCGAGAGAGGCCCTTTAAACGACCAGTTCACACGACCCAAAGTCGACGAAGCTACCTTCCTCAAGGCTCGCGAGCCTGTAACTGTGCCTTTTTGAAGTGGCATGCCACTTCCGCTACCGCTACCGCGCCAGGCCCGAATCGAAATGCTCTTCCCGGCGTTCCCGCGTATATCGCGGGAAACGGCACTACTTAGGTTCGTGTGACGTTGTGAACTGATTGTTTAACCAATTCAAAATTCAAATCAGGTTACAGCATACATTCTGGAAAAAAAAATCATGACTTATAAGAGCACTCTGTTGTTATGGGATGAGGACGTAAGAACCGTAAGATTCAACGATTTGACTCGAACTGGTGAAAGACCATTGTATTCGAGAAGTGAGACAGCCTTACACGGAATTCCTAATCGGCTGTACACTCTGCCAAGGCAGATCAAAATATGTGTGTGTGTGTGTGTGTGTGTGTGTCTGTGTGTGTAGCATGCGTATGTCACATGCGTTTCGCACGAGCACGACACGTCATGCTCGTGCTACTCCGACTAAAAAGCGTTGGCACACCGTGAGCAAGAAGCAAGACGCGGGAGGCGATATTCCAACGCGGCGAGGTAAAACCACTTGGTATGTCCATCTTGTGGTGAGGGTAACCACGGGGCCGTTCATCGGGTGAAGTCGGCCAAACCTGCGCTAGTGGCGAATCGAAGTGAAGGGGGGTAGGGGTGCTTCGCATTACGAGGGGGCAACGAACGAACCATCCATTTAGGAGAGAGGGGAAAAAAATAAAAAAAAACAAAAGGACGACAATTCGAGGAACCGAAGGCAGAACAACCATTGATGACATCCACACATGGCAAAACTCGGATACAATCATACATTACTTTTCTTATTCAGTCAACAGGATGCCATGCAAAAAACGACAAATGGAGAGAAGTGGGAAGGCTTTTAATAGGATAGGAATGGGGGGAAGAACAAGAAAGAGCGGGAGAGAGAAAAAAAAGAAAAAAGAAAAAGAAAAAAGAAAAAAGAAACCGAAAAAGAAAAGGAAATAGACATTGCAGGGGAGGGAGGGGAGATAATAGAAGAGAAGGAGAATACATTCATTAAGAACCGAGCACTTTCATGAAAGCAATATTCCAAAGGGTTGAAAAAAAAAAAAAGTACGACCAGTTTTTATATCAACAAAAACAATCACAGATTTCATCGCCCATTTCGCACCTCTGCTATCGAACAGTCGTATGGTTTCAAGGGGGCAGAAGGGAAGACCGAGGGATGGAGAGGGAGGGGGGGAAGGGGACCGAAGGAAGGGGGGGAAGGGGGGAGGGGGGGAGAGGGAGGGGATATCCCGCTTCAGCTCTCTCCTCCAGATCCATCGCATTCCTACAGCTGTGCGGATCATCTCGCGGAATTGCGGAAAGGGCGTGGCAGCTCCCTAAAGCGCTTTTCTGCCCCATGCCACGTGGGGCGTCATCAGAGGGGGGGACATCTTCCACGATCTCTGGAAGGCCTGGGGGTGGTGGTGATCGGCGGGG